AATTTCAGTATTTGGAGTATTACAGTTTTAAAAAAACCCATACAGTATGTTGGTGAACCTCCCATTTGTCTTTTGGAGTAGAAATGAAACCAAGTTCTGACCTTGTGAAGTCACTGAATGTACCCCATGAAATGTTTGTTTCATAGAGATACAAAATGCCTGCACTCTGGCTTGGGAACATTAAATTGTAATAACGACTCAAATTATTTCATGAAATGGAGAAATCGGGAGGAGTATGATAGCCAGGTCATACAGTATATCTTTCGCTAATGTCTTGGACACTTAAAGAGAAGCCATTAAAGCTTGTTTTGATACTACTATCTATTTATATTGTTTATAATGCAACACATTGATAAAGATAACACCTATTTTGTTATAGGAGAGAAAACTTGTCTTATGCTGAGCAGCTGCTTGAATGGATTTCTACACATAGCTGATTTATGCAATGAGATGCTAAAAAATACATATGCTTAAGCAAACATATTTCTGAAAGAAGGTTATCCTTATTCCAGAGCATTTTGACAGCACTTTGCTGCATAGACTGTGTTGGTCCCTCTAAAATGGACACTGTTGCCTCAGTTTAAAGTTTATTTAAAGTTTTAAATTTTTAAAAAAGTATTTTTATGATATAGCAAACTAATTTCTGTGGAAATCCTGTTTTCTTCATGATGTTCCTGGTCACTGGTGTCCAAAGGTAATGTCATAGCGAGGATACGGTCAATGAATCCTAGAACTCGTAACACCTACATGGTGCTTTAAAAACCTAGAAGTCCTTTTTTATTGTGTTAATAAAACAAGCGCTAAGGTAAATTTAGCCACTTTCTAATATAATTCTATAAGTGGATTCAAAATGAGATTATTAAGGGAAGGTTTACCCAAAAGACAGAATGACTAGACTGCAGTATGCCAGAAGAAATAGCATGCTGAGTGACATACATAGACCCCTTACTTACTTTTCAACTACACTCCATAGCACAGCACAAAACTGCAGTTCCATCACAGCACTCACACATGGTGTCTCATTTTGTGCTCAGTTTCAAGACAAAATTTTTAGTCTTAATTCATCCCATACTTTAGATTTTTAATTGTTCTGGTAGTTTATATAGTAAACAAAAAAATCTAACAGCAACATGTACAAATTTATAAGAGAATTTAGACTCATCTGCTTGCCTGCAAGCTGCGTTACTTATCCCCTTTTCAGCAGTGGTATTAGAACTACTTAGCACTGCAAACAAGACCAGAATCTATTTGTACCAGGTATTTTGCTCACAAGAGTGAAATTCCTGCATGGAGGGGTTTAAAATATGTGGATTTTTGAAGTACAAAAATAATGTAGTTTGGTGATATTTTATTAATGTTAGCCTTTTTTTTTTTTTTTTCCAATTGAAATTAGCAGTTGGAATTAAGAAGGCCATCTATTTTTAAGGGATTCATAACGAGCTTGTGCTGACTTCATGAACAACCCAAAAGGTTCCCACATGGAAGTGTGCAACAAGTCTGGAGCTGTATTCCCATGCTTCCTGCAAACAAGAAGTGAGACCGAGCAGAAACCAGTAAGGGTCACGCCTATCGAAATGACGCAGACGCATCCAAGCTAGCTAAACTAGGCCAGAGTTCATCCAGGCTGTAAAACTGTCCAAAAACCAGGGTAATTATTCAAGCAGTTCATCTGTTCCAGTAGAAAAAACAATGCTGGATTCATAGTGGAGAGAAGAGAGTAGGACTCTGTAGATTAGCAGTTAGCAGGGCAGAGAGCTCAAAGAAAATCCCAGATGATAGTCCTTGCTTCACAGGCTATTTCTCTCTCAACTCCAGCAACCTGCTCTTTCTCACCTGCTGACACTTATTTGCAGACACCAGCTTACTGTACAAAAAAGCATAATTTGTTGTGAAGACTGTGATCCTGTTGATATGTGTTATATGTGATCTGAGACACCATTCAGGATCAGGACGCTCATGGGACCTTGAGTCAGAAAGGTCTTGTTTGGTCAGACTTGCACATCTACTAGATGTTGAGCTTCCCAAGCATGTGATCATATATCCTTCAGCAAAGGTGCAATAATTTATCTTACATGCAACTAAGACTTAAGAGCAGCCCACAGCCAGGAGCTTTCTGAGGATAGGTAGTTAGCTTTAAATCTACACACCCTAGTTTGTATTCTAGTACTCCTATCCTTGGGTCTGAAGATCTCACCCTGACAACAAACTATGCAATGACCTCTATGACTCAAACTATGTAATGACCTGTATGACTTTGTTACTTCAATAGGGTCAAAAAGTAGTTCTACAGAATCATTTAAAAATAAAACAAGGTTTTCTAATTCTAATCCCAGAAGCTATGACTGCTCAAGTACGATCCTCCCTTTATTATTCATAAATTGCTTGTCCTTCTCAGACGTATGCAAAGCATGTTACCCACTGTAACACTACTCTGAAAATGGTTACAGATAAATACAGGTTGGGAATCCATTCATTTTACAGATGAAAAGACATATTTGCGTGTTTCCAGTTAACCAGCCCACCACCTTGCATGCCTCTAAGCAGCAGGTTAAGCTCTTCTTTCATGTCCACCCTCAACACTATGTGGACAACACACCTATCATGCTCTTACAGATATCCCTGAAAGTCAAATCCACATGAGTGACACTAAACCCATCAACTGGCTCCAGAAACCAGTGACGACCGAATGGTGTGTGTATGATGGTGAATATCTTTTCTTATTTTTAGTAAGTCATTTAGGAAAGCACTTCCCTTGCTTAGCTTACCAGTTCCTCTCTAACAACACCCTCTTAGATCTAGTTTCCAGAATGTATTCTATTAAAGAGACATTTCCCACCACTGACAGGTAAAAACCTTGTCATTTCAAACAATACAAGGCTGCATTTATCCAGGATCTAAGTGGGTGGAACTCCAGAGCTACGCTCTCACCCTCTAGTACGATCAGTCAATCAACTTTATCCATGGACCTAGGTCTATAGAAAAAGGCAAGATTTCTGTGATAATTGTGCTACTGGGTAGTTCCTGGACTCTGGGGATTTGCATGAGTTCTGCGGTGTTCCGGAGATACCAAAAACCTTCCCTGAGGTTTCTCTGTGCATAACAATTCTTGCCTGACAGTGCTACTCGCCTCTCAGTGAACAGAACTGACAGCTCTTGGCAGTACACTGGCTGCCTAAGTGCAGTAAATTGTAAGACACAGGCACAGGAACTATACTACCCATGATAAAAGTCAAAATCTGGTTCTTAATACATGAGACTGCAGTGCAATCAAGTCCATTCTGAGCTTTTTTTTAGCAGCTATCAACATAGACCAGTAGTTGCATTGTATGTCCCCAATTTTAGAAAGCTGGCAAAGAAAATGTAAAGGATTGTTTTATGCACACTCTTACATGTAAGAAGATTAAGAACAAGTCTAACTAGTTTTCAGAAAGAACAGAAAATCCAGCATTAATCATCTACTGAGATCCAATGTTCAACATTTCTCATTAATTCATGTGCTTGTCTGCCCACCTACTTATAAGCCGGGTCATTCAAATCTCGAAGTATTTCAACACATAATGAATTAATCATGAAAAGGAATGTAATGTAGTATGAAAGGAAAGTAAAATTCAAATATATGATCCATTAGTTACTAGCTTTACCTCAGATCTGGTCAGGTATTGGAGCTACACGTACAAGAGCATGACCTTTCTCCTGCTCCTTGTTCCTTCTATGCTGTTTCTGAAACGATTTTCTATAGTAGTATTACAAAATTTTCTCCTGAATAATGTTCTACATATTTTGTATGACACTTTGATACAACTCATTCATTCCCACTGAGCTTCAGTTAATAATCTTCATCGCTAGCCTTGCAGAAAACAGTAAGTTTTGCTCAAAGTGGACAAGAATTTATATGCATTTATTCACCCTCACTACTCAAACATTCAGAAAATAAAAACAATAGCACCTTCCCATTCTTTGCCTCTGAAGAGAATTTGTGATCAGCTTCCATCTGCCTAGCTTTTGCCCCCTTGCCAGTTTCTCTCTAGCATTCTGCAAACTTCTGACTGCAGAACAAGTATTCAGAACTAGAGGAAAGGCATTGGACCAGTGTGCCGAAACAAGTGAGCCAGAGAAAGGGACAGCATGCTATTTTTCCTCATAATATCAGAGGGAGCAAGTGAACAAGCTGTGCTGGCTTTACTCCACAGACGCCAAGAGGAAGCCAAAGCTGTCCCCATTTACAGGAGCTCTCTGACACCAAGCATTCTTGTGAACAACAGAGGATAAGCAAATGAAGGCCAAAAATGCAGTGCTCAAATTTAAGGCAGTATAAACACTGTGAGACTGTACAAGTAGGCAACATGACATCTGATATAAAGCATCGACCACCAAAACAAGCCTCTCCAAGCAAAAATTGGCATTAAAGTTAATTGCCGGACAATTAAAGCAAGTACCTTCAGATCAGATGTGGCCAAAGGATTTTGTTCTAAGAAAGCAGACTCTGTCCATTCTTTTCTTATTGCTGTCAGACTGCTACAATAATGGTAAAGGAATTCCAATAAAAGGAAAATCACAATGAGGAATACTTAAAGGATTCCTGTACTGACATATACACAAGACAATCTCCTGAAGTCACAGCACCTTCCCTCCCCCCAACTATTTCAAAAAAAGAAAGCTCATGTTTACCATGTACAATCTTTCAATTTGATTTGACTTGACACAGGGTGTAAACTCCATGCATTTTCCCTGGTGCTGCCAAGAGGCAGCCCTTAGAATATTGTTTCAAATCCTGATGAATGTCAGGGAGGCAGAGCTTGCAGGAGCAAACCACTTCTAAGTCACCAGCTGGCACTGAGGTCATGCTGATGAAAACATTCATCTATGCTAACCACTCCATAATACACTTTCTCACACAACTTCCCTGCATAAGAGACATATCTTGACATTCAGCATTCTGAGAAGTGTCAAGATACAAAAGCACCTCTTCCAAGGTCTTCAAAAAGTTTGCAATTAGAGCCCGTGAGAATAAGCAATTAAACTTTTATTCATAATCATTTACGTATGACTGAAAATATTCACCACAAAAAGCAAACTTTCAGTTATCTTGTATTTAGCAGTGAAAATACTCGTCTCTTCATAGTAAAGCACCAAGGAGTACATGACAGAACAGTCAGAAACAGATTCCATGTATCAGGTTTTTTCCTCACAATGTATATGACAAAGTTGAAAATTTTATAAAAGGCTAAAAGTTCCAGAATAAATTCTAGAGTCACCTGAGTGCTTGGCAGGAACAGTATTATGTAGTAACAGCTACTTTTTTCTGCCTTTTTTTGCAAAAAAGAGCTACTTTTCACAAAAGTGAGACAGACATTAATTGGGCCAAACATTGGGTTTCTTACTTCATCTGAATTTTTCAATGGGAGCCAAACAGAACAGTTTGCTAGTAGGAATATCTACAACTATAAGAGCAGATGTCAAGAGGAAAGAAAAAAAAAATATAATCACCTCATTATAACCTGATTGGTATAGCCCAACCACTTACAGACACCTATGCCCACTACTCGACTCAGCTTTTTCCATTACATTTAATTAGCATTTCATTCAAGCATACTACATTTAAGAAAACATGACTTTTAAGTTAAGTTGTGTACATGGACAAATACATGTACACAGTTTTGGTAGTCATTTAAAGCTGTAAAATTTGTATGTCAAGAGAGTCCTACAGACCCCATGATTAAGGAGAAATAACCAGAATCAGAATGTTACATACAAAACAATATTCTAAACACAGAAACCAATACAGTTATCAAATAATTCGAGAATAAAATTGTTATACAAAGAAATGCTGCCTTTATATCATTTCAGAACAGCAAACGAGAAGGCAACATTAAGAAAAGTGCACAGCAGAAAAGAATTGTTCAGTTTTCTGAAAAAGTTGAATTTTTCTTCAGACATCAGGCTTTTGTCCAGGATGATATTGAGTTAGGATTGCTTGTATTTTCTCCCAGATCAGGCTCTTCTTGCATTAGTTCTCAGTAAGGCGCTTACTCTGACATGTAGGAACGATACATCAGGGCCACAATAATTGCTGCTATCGCTGGGATCACCCAGTTGGACCACGAACTAGAAGGAAGTTTTTGAAACAGCAGTTTAGGAAGTGACAACCAGCAAGGTTAAAAAAAAAATAAAATAATTGCTTAAAGACGTCTTTCCTCCCCACTCCAACAAATACTTCAAAGTTAGGACAACAGAACAACCAGGCTGGCCAGTAATACTCTAGCCAAGTAAAAAAGCTTGTATTGTAAGCTCTAGTACAAAGCCTTAACAAGAAGTTTGCTTACTAGAGAAATGTAAGACTAGCCATGTTTAAAGTCATGGTGTGCTGCCCATCATTCATTCATTCATTCATTCAAAAGCCATTTAGGTAGTGGCATCACACACACTCTCAAGCACCCAAGCTCCTCACTCAGAGGCAGGGAACAGTCCTCTGAAGTTTCAGCAATAGGCAATCGTCAGCAAGATATAACTTCATACAGTTTGATTCAGTGGTGTTCCAAACTGTTTCTTCCCCTCCCAGTTCTGAGAGATTTTCTTTCTTAGAGACACATTCCTCTTATTTCCCTTAGATGCAACAGTTGTAGCAAATTTTAAAAGTGAGGTGGAAAAGTCAGCAATAGCACCAAGTGTCTTCTATTCACCCAATACCCTCCAGAAATGAAGGCCTGTACCCAACATAAACCATTTCGTAGATACGTCAATATGTATCAGTAAGAGAAAAAAAGTCTAGCTAGTAAGCAGACATGCTTGTGAAGTGGTACATAGATGCCAAATTGGACTTTCTGTAGAACAGAAATTTTCATGCACCATCCTCTGACATCTAAGCTTCAGGTAGATAGAAGCTGTTCAGCTTTTTAAGCTTCAGAAACATAAGCATGCAGAACTCTGGCATCAGGTATCATACTATACCTGGAATTAGACTGAGCAGTGGTTATAAGAGTTTCCTGGAAAGCAAAGCATAAAAAGATATTTACATCAGGCAGACACCCCTCTCCATCTTAACTAGCCCTTACAATTTCTTAAAACTCGTTAAGTGGGACTAATATAAAAACAACTCAGTGCACTGCATTTGGAAAGCATTTTTCTCAGAATTCCTTTAACACTGTTGTATAGAAGCTAGCTAGCAGCAGTTTCTGTAGGCAACATTGCATCAAAAGTTATTTAAAAAAATATACTCACAAGGAATTTTGCAACAAGTTTTCCATGAAGCTAACTTCAACCTCAGGCTACAATTAAAAAGTTTTATTCACCTAAAAGACTAAGATGCTTTACTTGCCTAAAATTTAATTGAAAAGTCTCTGAATTAATACACAAACATTTGTTATATCGAACTTACATGAAGAAAGCTACTAATTTACATCCATTTATTAAACTGAGGTTTTTAGTGTGGTGTTTCAGACTGCATAAGAATCAGTCATTTATAGTTGTTACTGATACTGATTTGGACTTCTTGTTCAGTTTCCATAGAAAAAGCACAAGATCAAATCCCACTTGGCAGATGATCCAAACTGCATTTAAAAGATCCAAGCATTAAAACTATATTTAAATTTAGTAGTACAATATCCATCACTGAAAAATTAATTGCTTCAGTATCAGAATATCTGCAAATCATTTAACGAACAAAAGATTCCCAACACCCTCTCACAGGTTCAAACAGGCTACTTCTGCAAGCACTCAAATCATCACACTTTTACATGTGGCAAATACCATGTTTGAAAGAATAAGACTCAGTGATTACACTGACGCTGTTTTTATGAACCTTTCCATGGAAAACTAATCCCTAAACCAAACGGCATGGAACAGCTTATGCCCACACTATCAAGGCTAACACCTTCTACAACAGACTTGCCACATCCAGGGCCAGGGGATGGTTCCTCCCACACCAAGACAGTAAGAAAAATGCAGCCCAGCTCATCAAAACCTGCTTTTAAACACTGTGACACTGGACATGTACATCGAGGGTACTTTAAATACAGTGCAAGGATGAGAAAGACATTTGAAAGCCCAAGGCCTTCTGACAGGTCCTAGAGAGCCAGTGCACAGGGCCTAAGCTGACCCCTTTACCCACCCAGAGTGCAATGCCCTGAGTGAAACTGTCTTATCAGCTACACCCACAGGTCCTCCTGGAGGAAAAGTGCTCCAGCTTCCTTCTGGAATGATGGAAAACACACATGTGCTGTAGGTACCTATGACTAGTACTAAAACAAGGGAGGGAAAAAGCCAAGCGGGAACATTAGTAAAGTCACCTAAATACATCTTAACTCCCAACTGACCACACTTCGGCCAAACTAATTTTCTAGGTACTTCAGTTTAGTAAATTCCTATGAGCTTAATCGAGGGATTACTACAACTTGCACTGGGCAGTCTGCTGCTCAGTTGCATTTATGGTTGCTGCTCTTACAGTTTAAGTGTACAGTGCCCTGAATTTCAAAAGAAATCTGAATAGCAGATGTTATTCTTGATGGGAAGAAGCTCTGAATTCCAGTCATCATTCAATTTCTTATTTTTATTTATAAAGTCCTTAATAATAAAAATAATAACTGCTATAGAAAACATTTCAGTGTGTATTGGGGTTTTTTTTCTACTTTACTTCATTTAACTTACTCATACTACTGGAAGATTTTACAAAAGTGATTGTTTAAAAGTAATCTCTAAAACCAGCAAGAGTAAGTTACTGTTCCCACTACACTTCATTTAAAAATTATCTTTAACTATTTCCTAAGCATACCGCTGTACTGTTAAGCCAGCCCTGAGCAAACATCCTCTTGGCACACAGCAGCAGCAACTGTACAAGTTAATCCCTGATGTACTTGCTCCTTTAAGGGACCCCTGAATTTCATAAATTTAGTACCAACACAACTTCATTCTATTAAAGATAGAAAAAAAACCCTTAAAAAAATAGGTGCAATACTGTTTTGATAGGACACTTGGCAAAAAATCTACTGAAACAGTCAGTAAGGAAACAGCATTTTCACCTTGAAAAGGGTTCACAATTGCAAGTTAACTGATGTATAACACAACAATCAAATGCCTCTATGTTCTCTACCTACTAGTGTTACCAATATATTAAGCATCTGCCAAAAACACTTATTATTAGTTTAATCCATTCTGTTTATAAACTGATTTTTCTCTTAAACTGACTACTAGAAAACCACTGACTGATTCTAGATTCAGCTTTTTGCTACAGTGTAATGTCATCACACTTAACCTCTTAGTTCAAAACCACACAAATAAGAGAACAGCTAACAGGAAGAATAATTTGAAGCCAGATCAATAGGTTTAGTAAGAGACTTACGACCTGAAACACTACACTTAAATCAAGCTGAATTATTTTTGCCTCTGGGGGTATACCAGTTATGGACAGATGCTGTCCCTAATGCCTAAAAGAAACAGTGTGACATTTTAAAAAAAACACACTTACTGTTGGTTTCTGAAGCTTCCCTCTATCATCCTGCAAGAAAACAAGCAAGAAACATTTAGACAAAACCCAAAGCACTCAAAGCAATCATTTATCATTAAATTCAGTTTGCAATTTATTCTGTTAGTGTACCTATTTTTAGGAAACTGTGAAAGAGCAGATATCAGTGTATGATTTTGAGCTACCGTGAAGAAGATCACTTCCTTGAATAACACTTTATAGTATACAATACAGAAGTGAAACCCGAGTCTCCAACATATTTCATTATTTCTTGTGCCCATGAGTTTGCATTTCTTTTGTCTCTAAACAGCACACATAATCTTAGCTTATACACCAATTACAATCATTAGTTTACTTCTGCCTGGTCTAGTAGTATTATCAAGCAAAGTCACTGAACTAGTTTTGGTTCAACAGCCAGTGCAAAGGTCCCAAATTCTATAGATCTTTCATAAACCCATGAAGTTTTACTTGAAATAGTCACATTCATTACCAAAAAAGACCAAAAGTACATAATCTTAACAGTGCTGTATTTATACATTATACTATCAAGCTGTTTGTTTCATATCAGATGAAAACAGGCACTTGTCAAACAAGTAGGAACTGGACTAGTAGCAACGTTAAGAAGAATTTTACTGGCATCAACTGCCATCTGAAACAGGTGACAAGCCTGCAAGGCTGCAAGCCTGCAAGTGTGTATCAGAGCTGAATTATTTTGTATTAGAACCTACACTATTCATATTTATCAAAAAAGGACCCGAGACAGATATAAGATTAGGAATCTTACTGTGAAATAAGCTACTCAAGACAGCCATGTTTACCCTGAATGCAAGATAAAACATACACAAGACAAATGGAAGAGGCAGGGATGGGCAGTAAAGCAGAACAGATAGGCACACTAGCAGCCTAAGCCTCTAACAAGTGGGTTTCGACTATTAAGGCCTTATTTAAGCTCTCCTGCATCTATCTAAAGGAAGCCAAAGCAGCAGCTCTGTAGCTAGAAATAAATAATTTCAAACTTGAGGCATCAGAAAAGTGCTTGTTGAAAGAACAGGAAACAGTAAGGACAGTATAGAAAAGAGGATGTGACAGATGACCCAGTGGGAACTGATCATAAACAACTCTGACAACCACAAGTAGGGAACACTGACACAGCTCAAAACCAGGGGAGACAGAGAGAGGGAAGACAGAGCATCAAACATGAAGTATAATGCTTACAGTAGCCATTTTCTAAACATACTTATGAAGAGCCAAGATTGTACTTTTAGATCCAGATGGAAGCCTGGCCTATGTATTTACAATAATGAAAGTGGCTGTTAGTAATCAGTCTGCATATGGACATAAGAAAATGTCTAGACATTCTGACCTATCACCTTCAGGGGTTATAGAGTCTCATTATAAAGCTCACAGGGTACATCAGAAAGGGCATGATTCCATATCCAGTTTATTCAAGAAATAAGTTACAAAATATTTTAAAGCAGCAAACTTTTATATATGACCATCCTCATACTACACTAATCAAATCCCTTCACACTAGGAGAACCTACCTCCAGCCCAGGTCCATCCATAAACAGCTGCTGGGTTGGCATCCAACCAAACTAGTAGCTCTCCTTTATTCTGAAGGAAATTACCAGAAAAATAGCTAGATGCAAAAGCTACAGTAAACAGCAAGTACTGGTACTCTCATGTACTCACCGGATGAAGTTCCCCAATAATAAAGGTTTCTGACAGTGTCCTTGCATCTGTGGAATGGCCAACATCTTCAAAGTTCTCAGTAGCATCTCCCCCAGCTTGCTCCCTGAGGACCTCTTCACCACCTGGGTGCTGCAATTTTTAGTGAGATTGAATTTGTTACTGAAAACATTCCACATTTTAAGAATGTAAATTCTTAATTTCTACAATCAAAAAAAAGTCCTTGTAAAATCAGCTGCTAGACTTCTTAGAGCAAACATGAAGCCTCTCTGAATAACTAGAGCTTTATGTACTCTCTGAAGCCAAAACCAATGAAGCTAAATCTCTACTCCATCAGTGACAGAGCAGTAAGAGGCATTACACCTAGCAGCTAAAGCATTTAGAACATTACAGGCATCAGTCTTTTAACAGCCCAGCTATTATCTAACATTACATTCCATGTTCTCACTTTTGCAGGAAATGTGTATTTCTATCCAAACAATGCTTTATACAGCAAAAGGATAAAAGCCAAAAGGTGTAAGTTGCAGCATGAACATTCCAGGTAGATATAACAAAAAAGCTATTCACAAGAAGAGCACTGAAACAACTGGCAAAGGAGCACACAGAATCTCCATCCTTTGAGGCTGCCTACACAAGGCACTAAGGAACCTGACATTCATGTTAATCCTAGTCTGAGTTAAGTATTGGACCAGATAACCTTCAAGCATCCTTTCCAAAATAAATTACTGTATGATTATCTAGTAAACCAGCTACTTTGGAACTGTTTCAGCACAACGGAAAACTCACACAAAACACCAGGCTAGCAATTTGGTTTTAGCAGACTATGGAATCCCAAAACGACATTGCTGATAAAACCCTTGAGATGTAGAAAAGTGGTCTCTCATTATTTCCTAATACCTTAACCCATCACCATTCTCTTAACTTAAATCCCTGTTCTCCACTTTTATTCTTCCCCACGATGAGGGATTGCATAGTTTCACATTTCCATCCATCAAATAACTGTCTATGTACTGCAAGATATATCACATCTTCTAGTTCAGTCAATTTTCTCAGCTTCATCTAACAGGTAAGTAACATGCTGTAAAAATTCACCACTCAACTTTTAAGTAGGGAACTACTACATAAACATTGGGAATTATTAGGTAAGCAAGTTGAAAGCACTTCAGTGCTATTGGCTTGGATTGAGGCAATCATGAAATAAATTCTAATGTGACCAGAGACAGAGGAAATAAGGCTTTGGAGCCTCAGTTCCACTTTTAATTTTATATTCTGTAGTCAGAGGCATTATGAAAATAGGCAAAAATTCTACTATTTAGGGTTATCTTGCTTGGAGCATAGCTGAACAGAAGGGCTATGCTTAGACAGTAGATTAAAGAAATAGCATAACTATTTCTGCTAGTCTAAACCATTCAAGTTAGTTTATTTCAAACCCCCCTGTATTAATCCCCTACCAATTCTTCTCTTCCAAAAAAAAAAAAAATTCATACAGACTGGGAAGACACTATTACTACTAGTTTTCAGCAGTACCAGAACCCCAAAATTTGAATCTTTGCATTAAAGGAAGACATTTATCTTAATCTATTAAGAAAGTTGCTTTTAAAAAACAAAACAAAAATAAACACCCCCCACACCCCCAAATCAAACCGAAACAACACAACACTTTTTAAAGAGCCAAGATACCACAGCTAGAAGGGTAAGGGTTCCCCACCATGACTAAGCAAAAGCAAGGTTAAGCAACTGATAAAGAGATTAGACACATCAGTTGAGCCAAAAAAGGTTAAAAGAGTGCATACAGAGTAAAGATTATGCAAGCAGATGTGCAAATATGGCATGCTGACCAAAATCCTGCCCTTGAGTCTTTCCTGATAAGCATTCAGGGAAAGGAATGGACAAAAGTTGAGGGATCACTCAAGTTCAGTGCCTTGAAATGTATAACTTGGGTCTAACAAGATCTCCCAGATATTGCCACAAGTAAGTCTTCAAAGAATTGCTTCAGCAATGTGAGGTTTGGGGGTTTGTGGGCTTGGTTCTTTTATACTATGCTAAAGAACTGTGCTCCCCAAAATACAACTTATGTAGCATCTTCAGCAGAAACGAAGACAAAGCTCCTTGGAAAAACAAACAAGACAAGACACCAAAGTTAAACTACCCATCAAGCACTAGTGGCATGAGTAGCATGTAAACTCATGCACTGCAGTGAAACCAAACCCCACTCATACAAGTAGATAAAACACTAGTTACTCCAGCAAGTTGTCAAGATCACATGGTTTACATTAAATTCCCCCAGAAAATTCACCAACCAGCCAAACAAGTGGATACCTATCGGTATAACTGCATCTACATTAAAACCATTTCAGAGTACTTTAACAAACCATCTGCAGGTTGCCAACTACAGAAGGATCATGCACTAATTTGTTACCAAATCCCTCCCTTGTGTCACTACAAAGCAATCACGTAGCTATATAGGCAGCTTCAGTGAGGCACTCCGACTTTTCTCTGTAGAATTACTTTTTGGTCTAATTAGTAACTGATGCCTTATCTATAAAACCACAGTATCAGTGTCAACACAGTGACCATGACCAGCCCTCTCAGTGGCTATCACACATCAGCTGAAGGGGACAAATTCACCCTCACCTCTGCCACCATAGCTGGAAAAGTGGTAGTATTTTTTCCTTCACACCAGCAAGACCAAGGTAGAGAGAACCACACACAGAGTTCACAACTTAAGCCATCTAGCATGTGATATTACTAGTAACCTACTCAATATACATAAAAGTACTTTGAAACTAAACACTTTTTAGATGGCACCTCTGCTTAAAGATGCAAACTTAGAAACCTGCAAACAACTAGCACATAATACAACCAATTAGTGAAAAGACTTCACCTCCCTTAACGAAATGTAGCAACTGTATTGTCTCAAAGGGCAAGAAGTGACTTTTCTATCAAAAGCCTACCACCTTTCATGGTTTAATAAGTTTCTCAAAGTTTGTTTATATGGGCCTTTGTTAACACTTCTGCCTGGTAAACAAAGCTTGTGTTTCTACTCAAATGAAGAGCCTTTGGATAGACCCTAGAATTGGAAAGCCTGCAAGACTATATAGTGACTCCCAAAGCAAAATCCTGCTGATACAAATAAGTGAAGTGCTTTGTGGTTCAAGGGAAATGAAGAAGCTTTTGCTGATAAATAAAGGTAATATAGCTCATTCCTAGGACATTCCCAATATAAGAACATAGGTATTTAAGTTACATGCATAACAGATGTCTGTAGAGAGCCAGCACTAGTACATAGCATAGATTAATTCTTCACAGGAGCACATTACAAAGTTTTCGATAAAGCAAACAAGCAGTTAAACTCACTACTCTCATCTGGGTCAGAAGTCTGTGATTACTTCATCCTGAATGCCTATCACATCTTCTTCCCCTCACTGCAGTCATGCAACTTTCTCAGTGTCATAGTTCAAGAGTCTATTAAAGTATAACTATCTTAATTCACAGTTCCTGCCCCTTCCCCCATCCCATACTAGAGGAGTAAAATCTATAGGGTCCAGTTGAACTTCAGGGGAGATCATCAAAGGTCTCCACCAGTGACAGTCTTAAAAATCCAAGTTTTGATTTCTGCACTACAGGGAACGATAAGCAGAAAGGGGCAGCACCAGATCCAGAGACCCAGAAAACCCCAGCTTTTTGTGCAAGACAAACACTTGTTTGTTTTAAGGGCAGTTTCATGTAGGCTGCAGAGTCCGCTAAATTATTTCCATCACCTATTTAAGTTATAGGACAGAAATTCTGTACTCATGTAACATTTTAGGAGCCTAGGAGAATACATCTCTTTATGAGAGTGTATTTTTGAAAACCAGGGGTTTAGGTGAACTGCAAAAGGAATGCCCAGTAGGTGGGTACCCATTTCCCCACTTACAAAACATTTACAGCTTACAGTGTCTTGCATAAGAGTGCTAAGAAGTGATATTTTTCAAAGCATTTTCAAATCCTCCTACAAACTTCATCAGAGCTTAAGGAAGTTATACACTGGTGTTAATCCTTAGACTGCAAGGTTCTGCAACAAAAATTCACATGGTACTCTGACAGACTTCAAAATGTGCTAGTACCAGCACCTTTCAGTGGAAGCTATTTGTTACTTTAAACATGGAAGCTATTATGCCACTCCTCTAGGATATCATCATACTGGATGAAAATAACTTATTACCACATAGCAGAGAGAACATTTTTCATTCTGACAGGCAATATTTGTTCTTCTGTGCTTTATTTGATCAGTATTCCAAAACACTTTTCGTGGGAGATGTCCATATTTAGAAACAGTGTTTTAAAAGTACAAGTCACAACTCATGAAAAACACATTTTCATTGGCCATTAATATTTTCAACAAATTTTGAGACCACTAACAACTGAAGTCACCTAAACAAAGTCTGTATTAGATGAATATTCAATACACACCATAGTTAGTTTCCAGAATAAGGAACTTCTCTCAGGTAGAGATGTTCCTATTGTTAGCTTCTCTCTCTAGCTTAAGGAATCCAACAAATTTCCCACAAAAACCATAAGGAGGACTTTCACCACAATGGGAAGTAGATCAAGACACTGATAATTTCATTCTTATTTTTATATGCCAGCTACTCTTGTTTATCTCATTAGATTGACATCAATGACTGACTAGTGGGATTGCTTTAATAAACGATGGAGAAATACTACCAAGCATTACAAACATATTCAATCCTTTAATTGACATTTAATATTATTCACGTATGTAATTACCAGAAATATAGATATAGCCTTAAGATCCTTCTGTGAGTACACATGCATTTCTAGTAGCTATTGTCCCTTAAATGATGTAGGACCTGAAACTATGAAAAGGTTTCCCAAATCTTCTGTAATACGGGTCCAACAGCCTTAGAGTGAAAAAGGTGATGCACAAGTGTCTGGTCTCAAGAATAATTTTTCACGCCAAGAGCTTTCAGATACTGCACTCCAAAAGTTGAGGTCTCTGAATTTCCTCTCCTAAAGGATATACTTTGATAATCAAAGAAAATTCAGAGATACATATTCAAGTTATAAAGTTTTCCTGAGATTTGCCATTAAAAAAAACCCAAACAAACAACAACAACATATAAAAAAAAGCAGCTGCTGGAATTTTCATCTTCAGTAACCCCTAGCATAAGGTGTCAAAGTACACAACCCTTTTCTCTTTCAGCACTTCAGCTGTATTTCAAATGATCTTTTTTAAGCCTTGTCCTTCAGAAACCAAACTAAAATGGTCACACTATGTAATGCTTCCACTCCTTTTCAGCCTCACCACTCCCAACACAGATATATCACCACCTCTGCTACCTAACTCCAGTCAAGTGTTCACAGAGGCTGATGGTTTCCAAAACGCAATCAAGTTTCAATAAACATCTACAAGCTTTATGAAGAGATAAGAGGCTGGACAGAGGAAATACACCCTTTAAGTACTGTAATGAAGTGAAAGGCAGCAGCATTCTTCCACTTGAGAGAGAGGGTGTCTTCAGCACTGAAGCACTGTGAAGTTTTCAATGTCATAATCAACGAGAAAGTATTTCCATAGGTTAATGCAGTGGCTGGAAAGATTGCTTGTCACATTAAGAAATGGGACTGGCAAAGTCAGCTTTCATTCCCAGTTCTTCACTCCCTAGTAAACTGGTATTTGGGAAGAGCAAGGATGAGATGATACTTTAGCAGTGCATCCTCTTCAGTACTACTGGAGTTATTTTAGTAGCCTACACTTAATTCTCAAAATATTTTAAGCTTTCTACTCCTGCAAGGAACAGCAAGAAGTACTGAGTTTGACCAATAATGCTATTGAAATACCTACGGTAATCCCCATTTCACTGAGAAGTGTTTACCATTCCAGAACACACCCAGAAGAGGCTAGCTCCAATTTCTCTTCCTCTGTCACATGTAAATGCCTCATGGTGTCTGACAGCGTCAAAAGAATTAGCTACTTGATAAATTAACCAGGTATTAAAAGCACTCAAAAAAAGGTAAAAAAGTGTCCTATGAAATATTTTTAATCTGAGGGTTCCATCCCAAAAATCACCACACAATGAACATGACAATATACCCAAGAGCTTTCCTTAGGAGTGTAGCTTCATTTAGATACTTTGCTGAGAATAGTTATCCAATTTCATTATTTATTATCTCAGAATATAACCCAGAAATTTCAGCTCCAAAATCAGCCATTTTCTACTGAAAGCCGTTTAATGTGAGGCTGAAATTTGATTCACGTGTACCAGCACGCATCAGACATCCCACAGTTGACCAAGAAACAACTATTTAACTGCTTATAGACAAATTGAATTCTTCCAATATGCTGCTGAAATAGCAACATTGACCTGAAGGCTGAAATGAAGACTTTCTTGGAAGAGTCTGCACAAGGTAGTGCCTCTTAATATTTACCAATCTCATTACATGCACTGAAGGAAGAAGCTAGCTGTCAGCTTGTTTGTGCAACTAAAATCCAAAAGCTTATTAGATCCTGGATTTTTTGTCAAGTGCCTTTTTTTGTTGGGTTTGTTTTGTCTTGGGGTTTTTTTGAGGTCCCCCCCCAATCTGGAAATGTTTATACAATTATGTATCAACCAAAACTGATCAAGTTTCCAAAAACAGCTACTTCAATTTCTCAAGCTGCATAAAAACTGCGTTCTCCTCCAGGGCTTCGATAATTAAATTGGCCTTGCCTGCATAACAAACAAACTTTCCCATAACTAAATGATGAACCAGACCAGGGTCAGACCTCAATGAAAAATAATGAATGAAGTCAGTAGACCAGTTTCACAGTCCACCTTGCTGAAAAAAATGACAATTTGTGCTGGCACACTGCTTAAGAAGGGAATACTACCCGTGTCAACACTGCCTTTGAAAAATTTCTTGTCGACTTTTTATTTGCAAAATATTCTATTAATTTTCTGAATTTTAAGTTGTATTCTTCTGAATTCTACAACCACAAAATTCAAGAAGGGGCTACAGAACTACTAAGGCTTGAATTCTGTTGTGTCTCTACCAATCTGAACTGTATTCTCAAATAAATAAATGTAAATTACTAATGTAAATTACTAAAAATCATAACTCTTTTAAATTGGATTCCAGATCTTTGCAGATTGGGAATAATGGGAGTGAGGTAGAAAACTCAAAATATCACTAATCCTAGTTCCATCTACTACTGAAAAAAAAATGCTCAGCAGTTGCATTTCTGCATCTTCACAGAAAAACGTTTTAATCCATTAACTAAAATGCTTCTTTATTAACCATGACTATCAATGATTACAATTGTTCATCATCAGCAAGCGATCAAAACCATCAATTGTTAACTAGGAAAAAGAAAAACAACTAAAGGCATTCAGTACTCTGGCCGCTGTACTCTGCTAGAGTTTGAACTTCTGCCGCCGGGCAGTGCTGCGTTAGGACAGCAGCAGCAAGCGCACAAAGCCTGCGGGGAACTTCGGTTTCTACAAAGGCAGAGAGTTTAAAAGGCAGGTGAAGGGAAACAGCAGTTTCTAGCAGCGGAATACACGCGAGTGGGGGACGGCGTGCTCGGCACACTCGGTTTTTTACCGCCCGAGAGCAGGCCGAGGGGCGGCCGCCGGCCCACCGGGGCGCCCGGAGCCC